CAGTTCAAGTTTCGATTCTCTCAAAAAATATAAGGTACCCAGAACTACTCACCCCTACTCATTATATCATTTGCCACGCATATTTTAATCTAGTGGGCTGAGCTTTCTATGACATTTGTGGGACAAAATCAAAAGGTGGGCTCAGATTCTTTTGTCTCATTGTGTCCCCTTTACCTTCTTTTCTTTGAAAAAGGGCAAGGATAAACGTAATGGTTGTGCCAATATTGAGTTGCTGTGTAACTGAGATCTTTGGATATAATCATATTAGAGACTAAAGTTATACGTCATGTCAATATATTTTTCTTTCTCCAATACTTTGTAAACATCCTCTGTTTATGTTTGCAATAAAGTCTCAATATATAATCAATTTTATTTCTATATCTCATAGGGTACTTGGTTAATTAATTATATGTAATAGTGAGAATCAATTTCTTTATATTAATATATTAAACAGTTATATATATAGATATACAAGTACGTGAACATATAATCTTTTTAATTTGTCTTTTTGAAAGGTAAGGATTTATTTTATACCTTTGGTTTTAATTAATACTATGCTAATATATTTCCTAGTCTAAAAATTTAAACTATAAGGTAAAGTTAACATTGATATTTATGTCTAATGGAAGTTGGGTGTGATAAATATTGACTTTTGTAGGGGTCTCTTTTTGGGAACACATTCTTTCATTCTTTGTAAATTACCTTTTACCAGAAAAAAAAAAAAAAAAAAAAAAAAAGAGAGAGATATTCTCTCAACAATTTAAAGTCCTAACCAAAGTTTACCGTCTATCTCCCACTCAAAATTTCAAGTGAGCATGCACAATGGTTCTGCTTGAATTCATGTCATCTTGCAGACAGAAAGACTCAATGCCTCTATCTCAAGCGTTGGTCTAGTAGGATCAAAATCCTAACCTTTCAAATAAACTTATACAACCCTGAAATTAATAGTTGTTTATTAAATCCTAAATTTGGAACAACTTTTTTTATGCAAAGGCAAAATACTCTTAGATGCATTTGGTTCAGAGATGTTTATATTTATATTTGAAACATAGATTATCTTGAAGATTACTGGGAATGTTTAGGAAATGTATTTGGTTAGATTGGAGTAAATTGATAGGTATGTAATATTGATATGTTTGGTTAAGAGAATAAATGAGTGAGTATATTTATGATTACTAAATTACCCTCCTTTTTAAATATAATATAATATTTCTTTTATTAATTTTTTTAATTGTTTCTTTTAACCCCTTAAATTTGAAATTTGCTAAAAAAACCAAAGCCTATAAACCTTAATTTGTAACAATTACTCCACCCACCCAAGCTACTATCGGCAACCGCCCCACCGCCAGTCGCCACCAGAATGGCACACGATCGACCAAATCTGCTAATTGTGAGCTCTTTTGGTGAATGTCGATGGCGATAGTAGTGGTGGCTAGCTGCTAGCAATCCTCTTGGGTGGCTGAGGGTGGTATGTGGTTGTGGTATTGGGTAATTTGGTTGAAGTACAAGAGTAGTTTTGTCTTAAAATCCTGAATATGAGGTTGAAATTGTCCATCAATTTATTGTAAATTATTTAAATACGAGGATTTATTGTCCTAAATTTTATTAATAAATGGTAAAATTGTAACAAAATTACGATTACCAAATATTTTAAAATGCCTAAAAAAATTGGAGGTAATCAGATCACCTCATATATAAACAACAGTAATACTGTTAGTTTTGGAAGATTACTGAAATCTCATATTACTTGACAACCAAACATGATAATCAAGTAATAAGATGACATTACCTCATTAATGGGATTATCCCAACCAAATACACCCTTAAGGTGACATTAATTTAATCTACTAAATAATAATAACCCATTTTGTCCTTACTTAGTAACGAATGTTTAGAATCAAAGGGTCTATCTAGTAATTAAACTAGAAGATCTGGGCTTCATTTTTCAGTTTTAAGAATACTTTTAGTATTCCCAAAAAGTTAAACACTAAAATACCCAAAAACTCTGGTTTTTTGGGAATACTACTTTCAATATTATTCAACTTTTTTTAAACCCTCTAAATTTGTTAATTTAATTAAATACCCCTAAATATTTTTTAAAAAATTGCAAAAACACCCTAGCAATCCACATTTACCAGATTCCGGCCACCACTGCCAAAAAATGGCCAGAATCTAGTAGGATGGCGCACTACCGGCTGAATCTGGCCAGTAGTGCGCCGATCTAGCCTTTTCCAGCCAAATCCACGGTGGATCTGGCCGGAAAATGCCATATTGGTGCACAACCGGCAAGATCCAACTGGTCATGCGCCGATAAGGTGACTCCGACCACCCTTCGGCGGTGGTGGCCGACTGTCCGTATTTGAGGGTGGGTTGGGGGTGTTTTTGTTAACTTTTAATGTTTTATTATAGGGGTGTTTTTGTAAATAAATAAATATATGGGGTATTTTATTCATTTGTAATCCTATATCGTAATACCCGCCCATTTCAACTTTTTTTTAACTTTTTTCAAAAAACTTTTCCCAAAACCCCAAAATTTTGAACCAAACGGGGCCTTGGTTTTTGATGCTCCACCTTAACCCCAGGAGGCAAAGTAAAGTTATCTCATATCTTGCACGCTTGCTCCTTTCCGAATCATTTACAAAATTTCATTTAACACCTTAAGGCAATTTAGTTGTCCTATATAATAATCCCCTTTTTCTTGACATTCGTTCACTTTGGACCACACCAACCCAGCCCCCACACAAAACCAACACACAAACCACCCACCCCCCATCCCACCCCCCTCCTCTTTCTCATCTTTTTCTCCATAGTCCAATAATATTAAATCGTATTAATAACACGTCTTCACTCATCACATAGGTGACATAATTCATTCAATAATTCAAAAGTTATTTTATCCACATGAGATGTATATTGAATTCATATGTTAACCTTTATAAAATATGAATACACATTCATCACTATCCATTAAAAAAAAAAAAAAAAATTGAAGAAGAAGAAGAAGAAGAAGTGTTTGGCCCCCTTAAAAGTCCAGTCAATCACCTTAATACTCATTAAACAGTTAATTTTCTTACCAAATAAATTAAAGCAATTGTTTAACACTTAACATGGAGATTCGCAAAGGTCGTTACCCATGAATATTATCAGTAAAGCATNAAAAAAAAAAAAAAATTTAAAATATACCCATTCTGCCCTTACATAGTTAACGAATGTTAGAATCAAGGGGTCTATCCAGTAGTTTAAACTAAATAAAGTTGATCACATATTTCAAACTTATCGAATTATCTACAATTTAACACCTTAAGCAACTTAGTTGTGTAATACCTATACAATAACCCCTTTTTCTTGACCCTCCGTTCTCATCTTTTATTCTGAATAGTCCAATAATATTAAATCATATTAATAACACGTCCTCAAACACACATCACATAGGTGACATAATTCATTCAATAATTCAAAAGTGATATGTGTTTCCATGAGGAAAAAGTTTGGCCCCCCTTAAAAGTCCAGTCAATTACCTTAATACTCATTAAACAATTAATTTCCTGACCAAAGAAATTAAAGCAATTGGTCAACACTTAACATGGGACTTCGCAAGGGTCGTTACCCATGAATATTATCAGTAAAGCATAAATAGGTCAAAATAAAATTAGAGAAATACAATCTAGGTCTTCCACTTAATATTATTTTACAAGTAGAGATTAAAGATACTATTGAATTAACCAGAACTTTGTTGACCACTGAAAGCTTTTTGACTCGGTATTATAAACCAAAGCATGTTTCATAATTTGGAATAGAATATTTTTTATTAAAAGTAAACAACTTTTTCCCACCCAAGGTCATGGATCAAATGGTGGTAATTGATTGAATATTCACTATCGGAATCAATTGTAAATAATCTAAGAACAAAAAACTCTAACTTTACAGTAGTCAGCAATTGGTCAGAAATCAAGTGTCAAAGTCAGAGAGATATTGTAGAGAGGAGACTGGAGGTCCAAGTGATGGTGACAGAGAGAATTTTTGCTATGAAAATCAGCTTTGTGTAGTAATAGAATATTAACTTTGAGTGAAAAAATGGTATTTTGAAACTTTTTGGATGAGAAAGTGTCATTAAGGCAAACCTTAGGTGGGAAAAAATCGTTTACTCTTTTAATTAATATATACAATAACTTTTCCTATCAAGTTCTCTTCATAGAAAGCCATCAGATAAAGGAGTTCACACTCAATCAAGTGTGTGAACCATGTGAACATATAAAAACAATTTACCATTAATTGCCCAAAGTAATTTTTATCTCACAACTTTCCTGCATAATTTCTAACTTTTAGAGAAAGCATAAGTCTAAAGGAGGAAGACTGAAGAAAATGTGAAAGAGCTGATCACGTCAAATCTTTATTAATTTTCCAAAAGGAAAAGAGAATTAATAGCTGTCCAATGTTCATCTTTTGCTTTTACACCAACAAAAAATAAATAAATAAATTTATATATAGATAGTTGAGGTTCGACATAAAGACTAATTGGGCTCTTCTTAAGAGCAATTAGGTGAAATTATCTCCGTTCAAAAATTGGTTTATTTTCTTAAGAGCAATAATTGAGCTGCTACTTTAATAAGTGGTTTGAAGTAACTTGCGATAACTCTTCTGACTCTCCAAGAGCTTTCTTAACTAGCATCAATATGGAACTATCATACGGTTTATTTTCGAAGGGTTTCCATTATTATTCAAGCCAAAGGGCTGTTGTCAACACTGATGGAAATATTTTAAATGACAGCCAGAAATTTCTTCAAAAACTGTCAGGCAGTCCCTTCATCATTTCAAAGACCTACAATATGGTAATCGCCTTCGGTTGTAATCCAATGAATACCAGCGGTGAGTACCACTCTTTCTGTAACTGTGATATTAATAAACGATATAGCTGCTGTGACTTGTGGTGCAGGCGTTCTCCAAATCAAACGTTTGATGGTGGAAATATATTAAGCAATTTTCCCCAGCTTTAGGGATGCACCAAGTCGCCCTTCATAGCTGACAAAGAATGGCTCGAGGCGGACTACCTATTGTCAAATCGTTCTGGTTCTGTCTTCAGGGATAAAGTTGTTCCTGTAAGCCTCGACTGGGGAAAAAAAATAGGGAGATGTGTGGAGCTATTTAATCCTTCGCAGACAACTTGTAATAAGGATCAAATATGTTTAATACAATTAAACTCTGGGGATTATTATTGTGTTTGCGATGACCAAAGGTCAGACTACTACCAAGGATGTTCAGGTACAGAAATCCTTCCATTTTTTTTCAAAACTTTCATGCATAATCAAATTGCAGAAGGGAAGATTAATCATTTTTTGTTCTTTAAGTTAATTGTGCAGGTGACTTGATTTGCAATACAACGAGAAATAGTAATTGCTCTAAATGTCCTGATGGTTATAGTCTTTCTCCTTATAAGACATTTCAAGAATTTCAGTGCCCCTCATCTAAAAGTTTAAATCAACTCCTGAAAAGAAACGCTCGAGTCAAATATTCGATAATCATAGGTATGCATACGCTGTTTAACAATTTTTTTTTTTTTTAGTTATTAATCAAAATATTGTTCTATGCACTTAGACAAAAACTTGATATTGTTATACATATAAATATATACATGTATATTCATCCTTGAGTTGGGCAGGTTGCAGTGTTGCGGTTGGAATGTTGCTACTTCTAATTGGAGCATGGTGGTTGTACAAGTTCATAAAAAGAAGAAAAGCAGTCAAGTTGAAGCAAATATTCTTCAAAAGAAATGGTGGCTTATTATTAAAACAGCGCTTGGCTTCCAATAATGAAGGAAACATTGTGAAAACAAAATTGTTTGCTTCAAAGGAATTGAAAAAGGCCACCGATAATTATAATACCAATCGTATCCTTGGTCAAGGTGGTCAAGATACTGTATATAAGGGAATGTTGGCAAAAGGACGAATAGTTGCAATTAAAAAGTCCAAGATAGTTGATAAAAAGAAAGTTGAAGAGTTCATTAATGAGGTGGTGATTTTATCACAAATTAATCATAGAAATGTGGTAAAATTACTAGGGTGTTGCTTAGAGACAGAAGTGCCTCTCTTAGTCTATAAGTTCATTCCTAATGGAACTCTTTTTCATCATATAAACAAGGAAAATGAAGAGTTTCCAATTACATGGGAAATGCGCTTACGTATTGCCACAGAAGTTGCAAGTGCTTTGTACTATCTGCATTCAGGGGCTTCTATACCTATATATCATCGAGACATCAAGTCGACAAACATACTTTTGGATGAAAAATATAGAGCAAAAGTGTCCGACTTTGGGACTTCAAGATCTATTACAGTTGATCAAACTCATTTGACTACTCATGTACAAGGGACTTTTGGATATGTAGATCTAGAGTATTTCCAATCAAGTCAGTTTACAGAAAAAAGTGATGCTTATAGTTTTGGAGTAGTTCTTGCCGAGCTCTTGACTGGAGAAAAGTCCATTCGTTCAACCAACATTGAAGAGAATAGAAGTTTAGTGGCATATTTTCACAGTGCAATAGAAGAAAATCGTCTATTCGAAGTCCTTGACACTAGAGTTTTGAAAGAGGGTGGAAAAGAAGAGATTATGAAATTTGCTAATCTGACAAGAAGATGCTTGAACCCAAATGGGAAGAAGAGACCTACAATGAGAGAAGTAGCAACTGAATTAGCAGGGAATATTAGAGCATCGGATTGCAAAACTTTTGTTGTGCAAGACAACTATAGAGAGATTGATTATCTTGATTATGAGACAGCTATTCTCTTCAGAACTGGTTCATCTTCTAATACTAGATCGTCTTTTTGATAGTGTCACTTTGATCTTGTCATTTCAACTACTGTTTAATGTAAGAGAATAGTTAGTTTTTGTATGTTCATGTAATGTATTCTATGAATAAACTTGTGAGAGTTATGTAATATGATTATTCTACTTGTAACCTTAGTTATTAATAAAAGTATTTGATTATTAATTGTATTTAATACAATTAATGCATTTTGTTTAGATAATAAACCATAGAAATTAATTGTCAAAGCAAATTTGATATTTCCCAATAGACCATAGAAATTATTATTATGAAATTAATTTTGGAGAAGTCCTCTATTGTTTAGGTTGAGAGCCGGGCGTTGAGTCAAGTGTTCCAAGTAATGTCTTTTTCCTTTAATGGGTAAAGTTCAGATTTTTCTTCTTTCAAAAATAACGTAGTCAATGTCTTTTTCTTTTAGTTCACTATATTCACTTGCCGCGCATATCTTTTATCTAGTGGGCTGAGCTTTCTTGTATGACATTTGTGGGACAAAATCAAAAGGTGGGCTCAGATTCTTTTGTCTCATTGTGTCTAATTCTCTTGGGAGAAAGCTTCCATCTCGCCCTGTCCCCTTTCATCTTCTTTTCTTTTGAAAAAGGGAAAGGATAAGCTTAATGGTTGTGCCAATATTGAGTATGCATGTGTAACTGAGATCTTTGGATATAATCAGATTAGCGACTTAAAGTTATACGTGATGCCAATAGATCTTTCTTTCTCTAATACATTTGTAAACATCCTCTTTTTATGTTTGCAATAAAGTGATCCAATATATAATTCAATTTTATTTCTATATATCTCATAGGGTACTTGGTTTAATTAATTATATGATAATATGTTGAACAGTTAAAAAGACTATATATATATATATATATATATATATATATATATACACACATGAACATATATATCTTTTTAATTGTTCTTTTTGAAAGGTATGAATTTAATTTGATACCTTTGGTTTTAATTAATACTATGCTAATATATTTCCTAGTCTAAAAATTTAAACTATCAGGTAAAGATTTAATATTGATATTTATGTCTAATGGAAGTTGGGTGTGATAAATATTGATCAAAAGATGCAATTGACGAGTTATATCAATATTGAATTATATACAATTTTGTGTGATGAATTAAGATACAATTGGGTGTGATAAATATTGATAAAGAGATGTAATTGACTAATTATACAATGCTAGACAGATACATATTGTCACGAGTCACGACCTTAGAAGAATTGTGAAGCCTTAATTCACAAATAATATGTCGGCCTAAAAAAACCCACAAACTCTCAAAGAGAAATAAGAACACATAGTGGAGAGAAAAAAAACTTTATTGTATTATTCTCAAATGAATACAATGTTTAGAATCAATTAAACCTAAGATCAACTACCTTTATATAGAATTTTACAAGTACATCCAATGGTTCAGATCTGTACATATCCATTGAAATGGATGACTAGAATTAAATATACAAGCAATAGAATTCTAGTACCATTCTACTACCTTTTTGGTGAAAGAATATTCTAAAAATATTCCCTAACATATTCTTTGATGTTTTTGGGTCAAGTCTTGGGCCAAACCTGTTAAATTGGATATGTGACCTATGTGACCTCGTAAGACTTGAGCTTGGAGTGGATGTGACAGCATCCCGTAAAACCTATGCATTAAATAGCCTTGTAATATATATAGTGATAAGAAATAAAGTTTTCAAAGAATTATTAAACTAGAATCTAACCATAATTAGTTCAATGATTGAAAATTACCTAAACATCTATTATGAGCTCCAATTTATGTGTGAGATATTTTTGGCTTTTGATTGCCACACCTTTTTCTCTTCATCATTTGCGGGTTTTACTAGGTTGGATTTATCCTGTTTGAAAAAAGTCACATTCAAAATTTTAAACCCGTAGGAACCAAATTGGTTGTACTTAGGTTTGTGACCTTGTGTTTTGGGGTTCATATTTTGCACGAGTGGATACTCTGTAAAGAGAATGCAGGCTCAAGCCCAGTAAAAAGGAGAAGAGCCCAATGAACAGAGAAAGTAAAAAAAAAAAAGAGCTGTGGAATAAAAGCAAGAGAAGACAGAAGAGAAGCCCGAAGAGAGAAGAGTAACATGGCAAGGAGTTGTTGAACAGTGAAGTTAACAGATGATGATTCAAAGCTCATCAGAGCCCACAAAATGGGCTGAAACAGTAGCCCCAGGTCCAGCTTTCTTTCGCAATAGGCGACTCCAACTGTTCACTTAAGCCAGGCCTTCCAAACCAAGGTAAATAACATTCTTTTTGTTTTTCTCTATCCTAAGTCATTCAAGATTCTGTATCTTAGGCAAATTATGACTCTTATTACTATTAAGTCAAGTGAATATGACCTTTATTATTCACAAGACCTCTTCCCTTGAGGATCCAAAGTTCTACCAAAATACAAATATCCTATAACTACTCTATAAACAAGGGTCACTCTTTTGTTTAGGCATTCAGCCTCAATATCACCTACTAGCACTCAAGCTCTTACTCCTGAGAGCTATACTATTACGTCGTGGTTCTAGTCTCCGACTTGACCTCTGGTAACCCTTTCTTCCCTAACCTTCACTAAATTGTCTCATTCAACCTTACTGACTTGAGTGTCGGAGTGCTTGCGGCAGACATCACATTGGTGTCCAAATAAGCTCCACACTTGTTTGCTTTGTGTGCAGGTGCAACGAATTGCCAATGGTCTCAACCACACGAGATCAAACCCTGCTTCTATGACCGTAGATTTTAGCATCTACATTACTTATGTCTAATGGAAGTTGGGTGTGATAAATATGGATCAAGAGATGTAATTAACAAATTATACAATGCCAGACCGATATATATACATCCCATGAAACCTATGCATTAAATAGCCTTGTAATATATATGGTGATCTCCTGATAAGCAAAGGAGTTTTCCAAGAGTATGCAGGCTCAAGCCCAATAAGAACGAGGAGAGCCCAATAAACGGAGAAAGGAAGAAAAAGAGGCGTGGAATAAAAGCAAGAGAAGAGAAGCCCGATGACAGAACAGACATATGGGAACAAGTCGTTGAAATAAGAAAAAGCTCGTGAAACAGTGAAGTTAACAGACGATGATTCAACGAAGCTCAACAGAGTGAGTGCTTGCAGTGCAGTTCACAACATATACAGTCAGATGTAGTTCAGCCAGCAGTCCAATTCAACTGTCATAGCTCCAGCTCCAGTTCAGGAATCACTTAAATTCAACGAAGTTACGGTTTAGTTCTCAGCAGAAGTGCAGAACGATGTTTCGTGATTTGCACTTGATAGTACAATTTCCTGTATTGTTCCATAAATCTGATAACTTGGCTTATCAATGACCTCTTAGTTTCATCAATCATATTCAAGGCAGGGCTTCATCATTCACATGCATTCTCAATAATTTACATTCCCATATGAATGTCAAAATCCTACACTGATACACACTATCAAGATGATACGAGATTATATAAATAAAACTCCACCCTGATCACCTAATCACCAGTTTTATACTTTGAAAAAAAGGTTTTATGATTGCAGTAATCTCTCTTATAAACCAAACCGTAAATCATTCTGATTTTTATTAGCATATTTTTATTATTATATCGTCCTAGCTAAAGTCTTTCCAGCATGAGTGAAGTGTCTTTACTCTCTCTATAAATATGCTAAATCTCCGTTAAATTTCCTAAAGACAGAGAACAAATGACTCTTCATCTTCTTCTGTTGATTATTTTGTTTCTATGGCCAATCAACGTCAAAGAGTTTCATTAATTATTATTTATATTTTTTGGTTATTAAAAAGGTGAAACTTTGTGCTTTAGCAAACTTTTCTGAAAAATAATTTCATAAGAAACACAATTTTATTTGGGTTATATTATATGTAATACATCAACCAATCCGGCTCTTAATGGCCCTTTGAGCCATGGACTTCGATATGTATGTGTTTCAGGATATGTAGTTTTGTTTGTTGGTTTTATTTATTAACTTGTCTTGTAACTTAATGGCCCTTTGAGCCATGGACATCGATAAAAAATAGGACTTCACATTCACATGGGGCATTTGAATTCGTAAAACCATCCTTTTCTTCAGTTTGTCTCTTGAAAAGACACTGATTGGACCATGGCTGTTATGAAATGATTTGTTTATTTCTGGTGTGCAAGCTGCAGCAGTAATTTCTTACTGCTTGGCTTCAGGGAGGATGTTACGGAATCAACAGTTTCCAGTTCATGACAGAGAACTCTGTTCTTTCCAGTTTTCAGTTCATACTCAAATTTCCCGATTTATATTCAAAGTTTCCAGTTTTCAGTTCATGACAGAGAGCTCTGTTCTTTCCAGTTTCCAGTTCCCAGATTCATATTCAAAGCTTCCAGTTTTAAAGGATGTTACGGAATGGAGTATAGAAGATCAAGTAATCTGCAGCAAGATCAAAATATACCAAAAATAAATCTGGAGAAGCAGATCTTCAAGTCTTATTTTCCAGAATTGGTCCAATCGAAGTATGTTAAGGTTGTTAAGGCTTGTTAAAATTCGGTTAAATAGACGGTTATTTGTTAACAGAAGTTCAAGCCCCATAGCAAAAGAAGCTACAATATTCAATTTATGAATATATATTTCTGTATAGTTTTTCATTTTAAGAACATATTCATTGATACTGAGTGATTCTTTTTTAGAAGATTGTATCTATAGTTCTAGCCTTGGATTCTGCATTAAAATGATACTCAAGTGTATTCCAGACATCAAATGAAGTTTATCACTTTTCTGTATGACCAAACATAGATTATGATATTGAAGAAAACAACCAATTGACTAAAGTTTATCAGTTATCTTTTGCGAAAAATAGTTTGAATTAGATTGTTTTAATTACTAGAATAGACGAATCTTCAGTCTTGACTGTTTTGAAAGAGAACAAGGTCTCTCACCATTAATGAATCCCTCAAGCTCAAAGCTTGAAGCACTTGAGATCTCCAAAAATTATAACTTTCTCCATAGGTGAACGAAATAGAGACAA